TAAACATTATTGAAACATAAACAGATAATATTATGCATCAACTTTTTTAGAACGTAATCGTGTGCTTTTAAGCAGTTTAAACCCAAATTTTTGCGACCGTTTACTCTGCAAGATTTACTGTAAAAATATTTTTGCTGACCGCCATTATTTTCTTCCTGAACTGTATTATGTCATATCGGCAAATATATAAAGTTGGTGATTACAATCCTTTAAATTATTTATGCGTCCATATCATTTCATTCTCCAATCAGATCAACCAACCCGGAAAACGGCGATTTGTTATAAATACCCCGGCGAACTTGAACTGAAAAAAATTTTTATTAGTCTGAAACCGTTTTAACCATTTTTGGAACATTTTACAACGTGTATATATACAGCGCGAATATAATCATGTTCATCACCGACATTATGCTAGGCTGTATCGTGTTAGATCAATATAGGGCTTTTGCCGTTGATTTCGATAAGAGCAAGACCGTCTCGCATCTCAAAACAGCCATCTTGGAGCAGAAGAAGAAGAGTTTTTCTGATATTGAAGCAGACCAACTCACATTATGGAAGGTTAATATCCCTCAAAGCAACAAGTGGGAAATACATACGGGAGTTGACATCAAACAAAAATTCGGAGGTATAGAGTTAGACGACCTCACTCTTATTGCAAAGTATTTCCAGAAGAACCCCCAGAGGAGTACATCCATATCATTGTACAACCGCCCTTAATTACCGGTAAGTATCTTCAATGTTTTACCTCACAAACAAAGAAATTTGGCGAAATTGACTAACTACTTCCACCTCACCTTATTTGCTTTCACACAATAATGACTCAACAAAACCAATACAGGATTATCAAGGCTAGGTAAGAAGTTATAGTTTTTGATTTTCGTACCAATTAACATTTTATACACTTTACTTCACCATTTTGTATATTGAGTAGGAGGTCTTGGAGGAACAACTTATCAAGGAGAAGAATCTGGTCGAGCCTACGAAGGTGTTGATCTTAGTTGTGATACTGTATGTCAGAGAGAACAAACTCTTAACAGACTTCTTGAATGTGTGCTCAAGGAGAGAGTTATTCTATTTAGTTCATTCACTACCAATGACTGGCAAAACGGCTATTTGAGCATTATTTGCTCCAATCAAGGAGTCGCATTTCGTTGCTATGGAGAGTCAACATTTTATTGGTTGCACGTGATATATATATATAGATATATTTATATTTATTTACACATAATAATAAAAACAAAATTAAAATACCTGTTTACTATTTTTGATTAAAAAAATTGTCTATGGTTGTTTGTTTCTTTAAACCAATGTAGTAATCAAGAGCATTAACATGTTTAAGTAACTCTTTAGAATCTTCTTGCTGTTGCAAAAGGAACGAACTAATTCTAAACTTTTTATAGCATCATTGGCATTAGCATTGACTATTGGCAGCTCAGTGCTGTCATCAATTTCACTATCATTAATATGAATGTCTAATGCCGATAAACAATGGATTTATTTCTTTCATGAACGATTACAAAATTCTTTATCCGTCATTAATTCTTTATTTACCTGACCTG